GCACCGTCACCCCAGCCGCGCCCCCCTTGTGGCCCCATCCTCACCAGCAGCCCCCCTGGAGGAGCTCCCCACGCGGAGCAGTGCAGCCAAGGACCTAGCGGGGACAAGACTCCAGCCTCGCGCAGTTGATGCTGCGGAGCGCAGGTGGAGGGCATAGCTGCCATGGAGCTGCTGGGCCGCAGTGGGCCATGGAGACGGTGAGTGGCCCTGCAGGGGGGGCAGAGCAGGCGGGACAGGGAGGGGCTAGTTTTTTGGGCACTTGGTCTCTAAAAGTTTCGCCATCACTGGGCTAGACTGTCATTAAGTGGAAACAGAACAACCTTTTACTCCGTTTATCCTCTGGGGCAGTGTCTCCTCCTCCGAGACCCATATGATCTTCATCATGCCCATTTTCAAGCATTCTTTAAAATCCCAGCTTTTTCTTAGGTCTTGGATTAAGATTGATTGGTAGGACCTTTTGAACTGAAGAGACATGATTTTGTTCCCCTGGATAGCTGTTTTATATATGTTATTTTTATGAAATTGTTATTTTAATTTTGTGAAGCCACTTTGTTTTATAGGGTTGGGCAATCTAAAAATTTAATAAATAATAAAACTGTATTTTCAGATATTAATATTGTACATTGATTGTGTATGGTATAGGTTTGAGTCACTTTATGAGAGGTTCTTTGGTCAATCTGAAGAGGTTAATTTTTTTTAGCAAAAACCTAACATATAGTGATAAATGGATTGCATGCTAAATCAGTTTGGTTATTTGTGTATGGTGTGTTAAAATCTTCAGTAAAAAAATTATTATACTTTATTTTGATTGAAAATCTTTAGTTGACACTTTCCTAATGAGTTAAGAATTCTTTGCAGTCTGTTTTCTGGAACGCTTAATTTCTTACGATAAATGTTTAGAAAGACTCAGGTAAATTAAGATATACACTTAGTGTAATAGAATGTGACTGCATTACTGAAAATGTTGTTTTTTCACTTCTTACATGTATGTGCTAGTTTCTACACCTGACAGAAGATACTCACTTGCAGCAATTGTGATATTTGTGGTAACTTTTATTGCTGCTGGTGGATGGTATATATTTCAGTATTCATCAATTCATGCTTCAGAAATTGATTATAAAGTTCTACAAGCATTTAAAAACCAGATGAAAGAGCTCAGGAACACCTACCCAAGTCAAGATGCAATAGTGTGGAACAGAATCCAAGGTACTTTTGAGAAACGTCTAAATTCTTCTCACACTCATTTGGAACCAGCTATTTTATTGCTCACCGCTTCAAAGGAAGCTGAAGATGTGTTGAAGTGTTTAAGCAACCAGATTGTTGATGCTTTCTCATCTTCTCAAGGCGCACTTTCAATTAAAATTGATGGGGCCAGCACAACAGCTCAAGATAGTGATGTTGTCAAACTTACTGTTGATGAAAAGCTGAGCTCTGGTTTTGAGAATGGTAATAAAGCAGCAGTAGTCCATCGGTTTGACTCACTACCTGCAGGTTCCACCCTGATTTTTTATAAGTACTGTGACCATGAAAATGCAGCGTTTAAAAATGTGGCTTTACTATTAACTGTTGTTCTGGATGGGGAGTCCCTGAAAAAGAGCTTTTCCTTGCTGGAAGTCGAGGAAAGAGTGAAAGATTTCCTCTGGGCTAAATTTACTAACTCAAACACACCAAAGTCCTATAACTACATGGATACAGACAAGTTGAGTGGCTTGTGGAGTCGCATATCCCATCTTGTCTTACCTGTATGGCCAGAAAATTTCCTCCCTCAGGAAAAATGCTTGCAGATGAAATAACTTAAGAAAAGGGAGCAAGAAGAAAATATCTTACAACACAATATGTATTGTATAAATCTGTTAATGCTTATATAATGAGAAAATTGCAATTTACTAATCAGAATTACTAAAGTTAATAGGTGATTCAATATCAGAATAAAATTTCTCCTTTATAAGGAAGCTGGTAATCTATAAAGAACTTGTAGGCCTTTAACATAATTCTAGTGATTTGTTGGAAATCAAGATTTTATACTGAGAGGAAAAAATCTTGTTGTTCAGGCCCACCCAACTTTGTATAATATGAATTTTTTAAAGCATCAAAATCCTTTTAAAAATACTGGGTTTGTGAGCAACAAGGTAATGAAATATAGTACATGATTTTGTCTTTCTATGCTTGACATTTACTGGACTGGAAAGTTGAAGTTGACACCAGGTTTTCCTATAGCCTAAGAATAATTCTGTCTTACTCCATTTCCCAAAACTGCATTCAAAAAAATTGTGTAACTAGATTTTGTAAATTTCTGTTTTGGCTACAAAGTTATGTAAGATGTTAGCCTGTGTCCAGTCAACACAATGACAGACTGTTTCTCTCATTTGAAAATGGCCTGTAGATATATAATATATATGTGTCCAAACAATTATAGTTGTGTCAATCCAAAAACACAAGGCTCTTCTGTTTGTTCAGTTAGACCACGGGTTGGCAACCCGGGGCTCTGGAGCCGCATGTGGCTCTTTCAGCCCTCTACTGTGGCTACCAGTCCTCCTCAGCCATTTGCAGAGACAGAGAGAGGCACTTGCACTTCCCTTCTCTCTCTCTCTCTCCCCCCCCCCAATCTTCTGCTCACTTGACCAGCTGGCCTCACGCTGTTCTCCAACAAGCTGACAAGCTTATTGGGCGGGCTCCCTGTCTTTGCTGTGTCTCAGTAGGAAGCAGAAAGCAGCAGCGCTCTCTCTCTCTCTCTCTCTCTCTCTCTCTCTCTCTCACACACACACACACACACACACACACACACACACACACATTTTATTTACTTAGTGGGGGAAGAGAACTGGCAGACCAAGGGCAGGAGAGAGCAGTCTAATAAGAATGTGTGTCAGCTTGTCGGAGAACAGCGTGAGGCCAGCTGAGCAAAAGATTGGAGAGAGAGAAGGAGAGGGAAGAGAGAGAGAAAGAAAGAGAATAGAGACGGGAGAGAGAGAGGGAGGAAAGGGAGAAAGAGAAAAAAAGAAAGAGGGAGAGGAAAGAGAGACCGAGAATAAAGACGGGGAGAGAGGGAGGAAAGACAGAGAGGAAAGAAAGAGGGAGAGGAAAGAGAGAGAAAAAAGAGGGGAGAGAGAGAGAGAGAATATGAATATAGAGTTGCAAGAAAAAGTATGTGAACCCCTTGGGATAACGTGGAGATTTGCATGAAATTTGCATAAAATGTGCTCTGAACGTCATCTAAGTCACAACAATAGAAAAACACAGTCTGCTGAAAATAATAATACACAAACATTACATGTTGCCATGGTTTAATTGAACATAACATGTAAACATTCACAGTGCAGGGAAGAAAAAATATGTGAGCCATTGGACTTAATAACTGGTTGACCCTCCTTTGGCAGCAATAACCTCAACCAAACGTTTCCTGTAGTTGCAGATCAGACCTGCACAACGATCTGGAGTAATTTTGGACCACTCCTCTTCACAAAACTGTTTCAGTGTAGCAATATTCTTGGGATGTCTGGTGTGAATCGCTCTCTTAAGGTCATGCCACAACATTTCAATCGGGTTGAAGTCAGGACTCTGACTGGGCCACTCCAGAAAGTGTATTCTGTGCTGTTGAAGCCATTGTTTTGTTGAATTACTTGTATGCTTTGGGTCATTGTTCTATTGCATCACCCATCCTCTGCGGAGCTTCAGTTGGCGGACAGATGGCCGTACGTTTTCCTGCAGTGTCTTGATAAAATGTCGAATTCATTTTCCCATCAATGACAACAATCCATCCAGGCCCTGAGGCAGCAAAGCAGCCCCAAACCATGATGTTCCCTCCACCATGCTTTACAGTGGGGATGAGGTTTTGATGTTGGTGTGCTGTGCCTTTTTTTCTCCACACATAGTGTTGTGTGTTTTTCCCAAACAACTCAATTTTGGTTTCATCTGTCCACAGTATATTTTGCCAGTACTGCTGTGGAATATGTGCTCTTTTGCAAACTTCAAACGTGCTGCAATATTTTTTTTTGACAGCAATGGCTTCCTCCGTGGTGTCCTCCCATGTACTCCATTCTTGTTAATGTTTTCCTTATTGTAGATGTGTCAACAAAAATGTCAGCATGTGCCAGGTCTTTCTGTAGGTCTTTAGCTGACACTCTAGGATTCTTCTTTACCTCAAGAAGCATTCTGCGCTGTGCTCTTGCAGTCATTTTTACAGGACAACCACGCCTAGGGAGAGTAGTAACAGTGCTAAACTTTCTCCATTTGTAGACAGTCTGTCTTACTGTGGACACATGAACATCAAGGCTTTTGGAGATACTTTTGTAACCCTTTCCAGCTTCATGCAAGTCAACAATTCTCGATCGTAGGTCTTCTGAGAGCTCTTTTCTGCGAGGCATGGTTCACATCAGACAGTGCTTCCTGAAACTAGTAAACCCGTAACAGGTGTGTGTTTTTAAAGGGCAGGACAGCTGTCAGCAACACATCCAATATCATCACACTGATGGTTGGCTCACTCCTGGCTCCAATTAGCTCTTGGAGACGTCATTAGGCTAGGGGCTCACATACTTTTTCCTCCCTGCACTGTGAATGTTTACGTTATGTTCAATTAAACCATGGCAACATGTAATGTTTGTGTATTGTTATTTTCAGCAGACTGTGTTTTTCTATTGTTGTGACTTAGATGACGTTCAGAGCACATTTTATGACCAATTCATGCAAATCTCTGCGTTATCCCAAGGGGTTCACATACTTTTTCTTGCAACTGTATGTTGTCCTTACTGGACTTTTAGTAAAGAACGTTTAATGAAATATTTTGATTTTTTTTAATTGATGAGGTATTGGGATAATTATGCTGTATTTAAAGATGGTAGATAAACTACTAAAAATTGTTTTCACCTGTTGGGATGAAGGAGAAAGGTTTTTTTTCCCCTCTTTCTCTGGCATAAAAATTTGTTTTCTTTGTAGCAGTTCATTGATTTCATAAGTGCAACACGCTGTAGTTTTTTTATACATAGCATAAAGGTAAAAAAGGATATATGCAGTGTTATCTTCATTTTAGATGTCAAAGGTTTTTGTGGCTCCCAATGTTTTCTTTTCTGTGAGAAATGGGTCCAAGTGGCTCTTTGAGTTTAAGGTTGCAGACCCCTGAGTTAGACCATCACCATAAGACAACTAAAGGCATCTTTCAGATTTATGAGAAACTTGAAAGTTTTTATTTGGAATGTATTTATTTATTCAGTCAATGACCAGCAACTTTAAATAATAAAATGAGGGATAGAAAACAGTGAAAGGAAATACAATCAGGATCAAGAAAGAGAAGTAGCTGCAGTTATATATTAGCAATTATAAATCAAATATAGTATTACAGTAATACCCTGTTTATCTAACACTGATAAAAGTAATACAGGTAGTCCTCGACTTACAACAATCTATTTAGTGACCGTTCAAAGTTACAATGGCACTGAAAAAAGTGACTTATGACCACTTTTCACACTTAACTGGCATGACTGTTGCAGCATCCCCATGATCACTTGATCAAGTTTCGGATGCTTGGCAACTGCAGTGTTCCGTGGTCACGTGATCACCATTTGCGACCTTCTGACAAGCAAAGTCAATGTTTCTATGTGTATAAAGAGGAAACCCTTTTTTCTTAAACAAAGCAGGCTGCAGTACTACGAATCCATCAAACCACAGTGGGGCACATACCAAGGACGGAAAGCTTGGCTTGCTTTTCTACTCGGCTGAGCAAAGAGGCTGGAGAGGGGGGCACAAGCCTCTTACCGCCCGTCTCTAAGGGAAGAGGCCAAGCTCTGCTCTCTCCACATGGAGCAAATAACCTCCCTCCACCCAAAACATTTTTATACACACCAGCACTTTAGCCAAGCTTACTGATTCTGCAGCAAAGACAGCTAGTATTTGGGCGCCAGCGAAGAAAGCCTTCCATTCCTTTTATTCTAGGTTAAGCTGAAAGAAAAAAGCTTGCAAAGGACCACATAATATACTGTACTATGCCATGTCCTGCCAAATGAGCTCACCTAATGGTTTCATCTCCTGCTGATATTTAAAAGGAGCAGCAACGAACTCTGGTCACTCAGACCTTGCTATTCGTGTCCTTATGCAGTGCTTGGAGGCTGTGAATTTTGGGATAGGGAGGAACGGGGTCTACCTCAACCCTGATTCTCAGTGGGGTAAGGGCTTCCCGAGAGACAGCTGGTATGCCATTTCAGTTCCCTCTGGACTCACAACTGTTGCTTGAGGAGTGGCTGATAACTGGCTAGTGGGCTTTGTACAGATCCATCTTCTGCATCAACTGTGCCCACTCCTGGACTGAGAGGGTTTGCTCACAGTCCGTCACAACTTGGTCCCTTCGCAGTTGGATTGATGTAATGGGCCCTATAGCTAGTCTTCTTTCAGCCACCATGCTGCACAAGCTTTTTGGTTTTTTCTCAGGTGCAATACAAAGTGCTGGTTATCACTTTTCAAGCCACGAATAGACAGAGCCAGGAACTTGCAAGAAGGCCTCTTTCTGAGGGTACATGCCCATCTGACCAAGCCAGATAAAGTGGGTGCCTTCAGGTCCTCTCACTTAGATGTTGTCACCCAATGAGGCTTAGTTAGCACACCTTTCCCATAGCTGTCCCTGCCCTGTGAAAGAGGATTTTCTATGAGATCCATTATCCTCCTCCCATCCCCTTATTGGGTGATAAGGACACCGCAAGCAACTGGTTCTTCCCTCAATACATGGGGGGTAAGTTAAGACTAGAGTCCAGAAGCTGTGGGGGGAGAATGGTTTTGCGGATATGATACTGTGTATGGTTTGTGGTTACTATCATTTTGTTTTTTATATTTTATTGTTATGCACTGACCCAGAGATTTTGTATATAAGATGGGTGTCCATATCAGTCTCTCAGATAAAAAGGTGTCGCTACTGTGTAATCTCCTGTCCAACAACAAAATCAAACTGATCCCAATAAATGAGGAATTTGCATTTAGTCTGTGTCTGGGAAGGGGAATAAATCTGAGTTTGGGCAGAATAGAAGATGATGAATGAAGGCAGTTGGGAACTCCAGGACTTCGCTGCACTCAGATAGCCCTTCCTTACCTGTGATGTGACTTGAGTTAGATCCTCCAGGGAGTTTCCCTCCAACAGGGTGACTGTTAAGAGGAACCCGTGCAGATTCCCTCTTGCCTTGGAATGATTGTCTCCATGGCAGACTCTTCACCTGGAAGCAAAAAAAAAAAAAAAAAAAAAAAGGCGGAAGTTGGAAGGCAGCACACATTAAGGACTGAATTCTCACTCTACTGCCATTTTGCCAGCTGTGAGTAATCTGGGAGAAGAAATTATCTGGGCAAAGCAAAGGAATGATTACCTAAAGGGGAAGAGAGAACTTCTCTTTGTATTCTTAGACTCAGAAAAAATAACAATTGATAAACTATTATCACCTGTTCAAAATTATATCACCTTCATTTCCTTGTATTATTTCTGGCTCCAGAAAAATTCTTCTGCTAGGGACACCATCTACTGGTAGGACCAGATCTCTGCTCTACATTCTTGAATTCAGCTCTGCATCTCCAGGGACAGAATGGCCAGGAATTACTACAGGATTATCTGGTCTGGCATCTGAGCTTCTGGGTTTTTTTCTCAATTCAGCCACTGATGTCAATGATGGTAGATGTTGCTGCTATGCTCCCAGGGCCCCTCCTGGTAGCACGACTCTCTAAAGTGATGTTGTAAATCAAAACTTGTGGTTCCTTCCCCCAGGTTGTTGGTCTTGATGCTCGGTCAGAATTTCCCACAAGGCCCAACCAGAATAATAAGGGTTTTTTTTTCCCCACCTCTGGTGTACTGTGGATACACTTTTTCATGGTGCTGAAAAGCTGTCCCAAGGAATCTCCTTGGATCTGCAAAGAAAACAGTTCTTTCTTAAGATCAGGAATTCTCTTGACCTGTTTGAGGTAGATAGAAATTTCACTTGTGAAATGAGATCCTTTTATCTTTCAAATCCTTATTTTGAGGAGTGGAATCAGATAGGATGCAGCTGTCCCTCTTCCTAACTTGCATCCTGTCAAATACAATCCTTGCTTTATTGAAAGTTCATTTGACTTTCCTTTGAACAAAGGGGAATTTTCCAGATTTATCCTGATCTGAAAATGCCCAGGACAACCATCAGTACATTTTTGGGCTCTTGCCCATTTGCTCTGTGCACAGGATTGAAGGAAATAAAAATTAAGGAAATAAAAGTTATTCTTTTAATAATTGTAGAAATAATTGTAGAAATGTAATGCCATTATATGAAACTGTCTCTTTAGTACTAATGTAATGCTGTAACACAAATGTAACAATGCAATGCCAATATATGACCAAATGTTTACTATATCCTGCCTAAAAATCTCCCGGACATAGGAAATTACACTTTAAGTGGAAATCCTACTATCAAAGAAGGGGATTTTAACCCAAAGTGAGAATTCCAGATAAAAAAGATAACAGCAGATGGACGGAAGAGGTCAGGTTAACAAAGTACCACTTCAGAGAAAACCACTAAGATGAAAGAGATGTGACAATGCATTGTAGGGCTATAAAATGCAAAACCTGAAACCAGGCCAGTGTGCTCCTGGAATCCAATCCATAGGGAAGGATCCAGGGGGCCGCGTTTGCAAACGCTCCTCTCTTCTATTCTTTCTCTTTTCTCTTTTATTCTGTTTCTGTTATTCTCCAATAAACCTTTGTTTTGTTAACCAGACTTGTCTTTGTATTGTGAGTATCAAAATTTGGGGTTTTTACATCTCACAATCTTGGTGGAGAATGCGGGCATTAAGAGCTTCTAGGGGACACTGTTCTCAGTAAAATCAGGAGCGCGCCTGTTGATTTCAACTGCCTGAAGTTATCTGAGATCTAGTTTCCCTTTGCAGGCTCCGAGCCAAACTAAATTGACAACTCTGGTTTACAAAAATCAAAGGACAGGAAATAGGAAGAAAGTCAACAACTGAAGCCCAGACCAGGTAACCCAGTGCACTGGCCCAGGTAAGGAACTTTTGCCCCGAAGGAGGGAAGCATGCAATTGTACCTGGGTGGTCAGGAGAGCGATTGTGGGAGGATTTCTGCGATAACGGCTGTGTAAGTGTGATGGGCTGTGTTCTGGGAACACTGGTAAGTCCAGAGGAGTGCAGACCCGAAAGGTTGAGGTCCCTTACTCCCGCAAGGGAGAAGGCCAGCCTGAAGGGAAGCAAACTGGTGTTAAAAGAGTTTTGAGTGGCCGTCAAATCGAGAACCTCAGGGAACCATAATCAGGAAAACTCTCAAGAAGATGGGTTGTTGTTGTAAGTCGTTGTTGTAAACCTAAAGAAAAAAAACTGTAAAATTGAGTAGCTTCAAACAGGAAAACCCATCTTGCTAGCAGCAGATGCCTTGTGTCTGTGAATGGGTTTCCCATGTGGAGCTAGGGTAGAAAAGGAAGTTTTGGGAAATAAGGGGAATGAGAGAAATGTGTGTTTGTCTCTGTGTATGAGTGAGAAGACCTTTTTCCCAAGCAGTTTTCTGTTCTCTTTTCCTTGTCTTGGTACGTATATGTGTGTCAGAGTCTTTGTGTGTGAAGTAAATATGACTGTTACTAACCTCAAGAGAAAAGAAGATACCAAAAGAAATAATTTCACTCTGTTTGTCTGGCCAACAAACAAAGTGAAGAAAGATGTGTTTGTTTATTTTTTTCTCTCCCTCTTAAGAACAGCCCAAAGTTACCTGCTCAGGCAGGAAATCCTATATCATTTTCTTGCCTATTCTGCTCTCTCCCTTTTGCAAATGTTAAGTGTGTTAATGCCTTTTCAAACTCTATCTGCAGACACAACCCCCTCCCCCCCCCTGCTTTTTCTGGCTGTGTTGCTTTGAGAGGAAGAGAGAGAGAAAGGAAAAGGGGGGGGGTTGATCTTTTTAACTTTTTCTCTGCTTAGAATTCAGGTTTGAGAAAGGTGGGGTGGCTGTGAAAATTTAATGCCCACTTTTGCATTTTTTTTCTATTCAAAAGAGGGGTCAGTAATTGTTGGACAACTTTTTTGGGGGAAATTTTTGAGTTTAAATTGTTTAATATCAACCAAAAGAAATGATTCAAAATTGTTTGCTTAGATTTGTAAATGTTCTTCCTATTTAATGGAAATTTAATGGAAATCTGTTTCCATCTGAATGGAATTTGATTAAATTGGAATTTGACTAACTTTATATTAAAAGCAATACTAGAGTTTAAAAAAAAACTTTTTCACTAACTCAGAATATCTTATTAAACTTGTTTATTTTTTGTGTGAAGTTAAAACAAAGAAGTTGAGAAAAATTTTGGGATTATAAATAGCTATGCTGTTTTGAGTAAAGATTAGTATGCAAAACTGTTAGAAAAAGAGCTTGTGTTAATAAATGCAAACAGGGTTTGGTGAGCTCTCCTTTGTTGGTTCTTCGCTAGGTAATTTATTTATAAACAAGGACAAAGGTTGGAGGAGGTTTTGTCCCAGAAGTGGGGGGGGGAAGGCAGCCAGTGGCATTTTTATCTAAAATTGACATTTGGGAACATCTTGGTGGTTAGCATTTCTTATCAAGTGTAGACAATTTTAATCAGGAAGCCTAAAGGAGGTATACACTTGTTCATAGTAAAGTAGTTGAGAAAAGAAAAGAACAAGAAAAGAGACATAATGAAGATACGATAGTAGATGGGGAAGGAGGGATTACCAAGAATTGAATTAAAAGATAAAATAATTAGAAAATATGTACTTGAACTGTCCAGGTGTTTTTCTCTCCTGCAACAGAAAGGCATTCTTGCCCAAACTCCTTGGACTTTGTAGTACACCAATACAAAGCAGGACAGTGGGTGTTGATAAAAGCCTGGAGAGAGAAAAAACTAACTCCAACCTGGGAAGGACTTTACATCATCTTGTTAACCACTGAGACAGCTATCAGGACAGCTGAAAAAAGTTGGACCATTACTCCCAAGTAAAAGGGCCTGTGCCAGCCCCAGAGGAGTGGAAGGTGGAATCTCACCAAGGAGATTCACTGAAGCTAAAGTTCCGAAGGACTTCATGGACTAATAGTCAATCTTACTGACAGAAAGGGGGGTAATAGAGGAAAAAGAACTAAACTTTATATTTCTTTTTCTATCTAGAACCAAAGGAAAACCAAGACCTCCCGCATGTGCTGATTTTGTGGGTATCTTTGTGGGTGTTGTTGCTGCTCTCACTGTATTAATTGTGTTCAGTGCACAGGGTGTGAGATAGAGTGTGATATTAAGTCTTAGAAGATGTATTGGAACATTACAAGATGGTATGTCTGGGGGGGTAGTTTCTTATTATACTCTTAAAACCTATCCAACTATTAGAATCATGTAAGCAATGTGTAAAAATGACAAAGGGAGAAGGAGAAAATATACACTGACTCCAAGTATGTTTATGGAGTTTTGAATACTGGTGGAAGAAGAAAAAAAAGAAAAGTTATGCTAGAGTGGCAGAAGGGAAGGAAGGAATGGTTAATAAAAGAAAGAAACAGGAAAGTTGTTTTAAGTTTGTTTGCACAGACTTGTGAATTGCATGCATTAAGCAGGGAGACTGCCATTAAAGTGGTCAGCCCAAACGTGTGAATTGTATGCCTTAACACAAGCCTTAGAATGTTGAAGGAATAAGAATGTACTAAAGATGGGAGGTGGATGTTGCAAGATGGGAGAGGGATGTTGAAAAGAAAAAAGAAAAAAACAACAACAAAACAATGGCTAGAACACAGAAGCAGCCACTGAAGGGGGGTCACAAGGGATGATTAATATTTTCTACAACAGGATGGTTGTATTTATATTTTAGTTAAACAAATATGTGATAAAATTCAAGTTAAAAAAAAAAAGCTTTACAACATTTAGTGGTGAGGCCATGTCAATATAGGCCTCAACTGGAAAGTTGTTTTTGTTTCTTTGAAATGGGAGGCTTTTGTTACATGAAGGTTCAAAAATGTCAATGAAGAAGAGAAGAAAGTTACTCAGCGTTTGCATAATGTGGTGCAGGTTTTGTCTTCTATCTCAGTACAGGCCCAGGCTGCCTTACCACCTGTCTCTGGCCATTGTTCCTGGAGAGTGGATTCAGGTGAAAAGAACTGTCACCTAGAAATACCAGTCCTGAGTGGTCTCAATCATGCCAAGTCCTCCTGATTTAAGGAATCAAGGTGTGAGTCCATGGAAAGTCCCATCATATCCTCTCCAGTGACAAACTCTGCAGCTGGACGGCCTGAAAATGAAATTTCAACCTGCCTTACCTGTTGAATTGTTTCCATCTAAGTGGGAGAAAAACTTCAATGGATTGGACGTGTTCCTAGAACCTAGACTATGTGTTGAAAAGTTTTTCTTCTGCTACTGTTGTTTCCTTAGTACTTTCTTTAGTAGAAGGAAGGACCATGGGCCCAATACTTTAAGGAACATTGGGGAAAGAAGACTCAGAATATGAAAACTTGCTTGCACAGGAATCTAAAGAAAATATAGGAAGTTATGAACTGTTAAAAGTATAAAAGAATAAATTCAGGTGGAAAAGGAAAAGGGGGGATTGAAGGAAATAAAAATTAAGGAAATAAAAGTTATTCTTTTAATAATTGTAGAAATAATTGTAGAAATGTAATGCCATTATATGAAACTGTCTCTTTAGTACTAATGTAATGCTGTAACACAAATGTAACAATGCAATGCCAATATATGACCAAATGTTTACTATATCCTGCCTAAAAATCTCCCGGACATAGGAAATTACACTTTAAGTGGAAATCCTACTATCAAAGAAGGGGATTTTAACCCAAAGTGAGAATTCCAGATAAAAAAGATAACAGCAGATGGACGGAAGAGGTCAGGTTAACAAAGTACCACTTCAGAGAAAACCACTAAGATGAAAGAGATGTGACAATGCATTGTAGGGCTATAAAATGCAAAACCTGAAACCAGGCCAGTGTGCTCCTGGAATCCAATCCATAGGGAAGGATCCAGGGGGCCGCGTTTGCAAACGCTCCTCTCTTCTATTCTTTCTCTTTTCTCTTTTATTCTGTTTCTGTTATTCTCCAATAAACCTTTGTTTTGTTAACCAGACTTGTCTTCGTATTGTATCAAAATTTGGGGTTTTTACATCTCACAGGATTAATTGCCATTGTTTGGGGGCAACACTAGCTTTTTTTCCAGGTGTCTGGTTGAGAAGGAGTGCCCCAATTCCCTGAGATCTGGTCCCACCTGGCTGGCTCTTCAGAACCAAGCAAACATCCCTCTTGGTGGTCTCAAGTGGGGCCCCCAAGGATATGGATCCCGTTTTGGTTCAGGGGATGGAGAGAATCTGCCCATGCTTCCTTCCTTGGAATTAGGCAGAAATGGCCCTCTGCAAGTTTCTCACATCCTTTTGGCTAGAATAGGTCTTCAAACTGCTGAGTGCAACGAGATCCAGCCAGGTGTGCCTTTGACTGGATTGACCCACCCATTTCGCCTTCCAACTGGTGTACCATCAGGGGTCCAGACAGATTCAAACACACACTTGAGGGGGCTGGCTTTGGATCCAACTCATTCTCGCAAGGGGTCCCCCTCTTGGCCTCCATCAGGGAACTCCTAGCACCGTTGCCAGCAGCTGCTTTCCTGCAAAGAACTCTTTCAGGCCATTAATTGCGGGGGGGGGGAGGACCGTGGCACTTGCATCTTTGCTTTAGGATGGTGGGAATACATCCTAAAGACAAGATTCCTTCCTGGGGTTCGTGAGGAGCATCCAATCTTTCCCAACATCACTGATCAAATGGAAAAGAAGCCAAAAGGAAAGAAGTCGCTGCGCTGGCTGAGATTGTGGCTCGGGAGGGAGAGGAAACCCCCCCCCCATCAACCCACGCCTGGAGTGCAACCTTCTTGTAAAGACCCGCCCCTCGCTCCGAGTGCCCCCCATTGTAGCCTGCAATCTGGAGGAATGCCCTTCCTCAGAATGCTGCACAGCGGCTCATCCGGCATTTCAGGGAAGCAGCTGCTCCTCCCAGCCCTGCTCTTCCTGCAAGGACCTCCTGCGGCCTCTTGGTCCCGAGGGTGAATAGTCTGGGAGGGGGGCAAAGGGCAGAGGGGACCAAAGAGGGAAAGCCTTCGCTCCCGCCCCCCCCCCCGCCTTTTCATCAGACTGGAGAGCTAGAAAAGCGGAGGCGGGCAAAAGACAGAGGCGCATGCTCAGTTCCCTTTTGAAACTCGAAGACTGCCAGGACTCCGCAGCCTGCAGGGGAAGCCTCCTGGTGGTCCTCGCCTGCCATGGAAGTCCATCCTGCAAGCCGGTGGAGAGACGCGGAAACCTTTGCTGTCCCTGCCCCGTAGGAATTATCTACGGCAGGGGTCTTCAAACTTGGCCCTTTTATGATTTGTGGACTTCAACTCCCAGAATTCCGCAGCCAGGCACGCACAGTCCATAAGTCATAAAAGGGCCAAGTTTGAAGACCTCTGACCTACGGGCAATATTCTCTTCCACATGCTTCCTTTGCCCTCTGTAGCTGCCGAGATATATCGGCTACTCCTGGGTATTCTGCCCGCGATAGTTGGACACTTCCCCTGGGCTGGGGGACAGGCTCCGTGCGAGGATTGTGCGGTGCAAATTGACCTGGCCCTGAACCCCTGAAGGGAAGTGTGGCAAGAGGACTTGGCCCCTTCCTTTCCCTGCTTTGAATTCCTCGGACCCATTTTGAACCCCGCCTGGACTTTTCGCACAGGCACTGCTGTGCCTTTCGGGCGGTCCTTGAGGCTGGGGCGGAGGCGGAATCAAAGGGTCTTTCTGGGTTTCCTCTTTGGCAATGCGGGAAGGGGGGAGGAGAATCTCTTGGTGAGCAAGTCCCGACGGAGGTGCGAAAAGGCACTGGGTGCCCCTCCCCTTCAGAAAGGAGCAGTAAATTTCCCCATGCCTGGCACAGCCGGTAGACTGGTCCATGGGGGAGAGGGGGAGGGAACTGGTGTTATCAGGGAATTCTAGATTCTGTAGTCCAATATATTTGTTGGAATTTTAGCGTAACTCCAATGTTCCCCGTTCCTCTCTCTCTCTCTCTCTCTCTCTCTCTCTCTTTCACACACACACACATACACACACACACATGCAGGCACACACCTCTGTCTCAAGTTGTACAATAGAAATGTAATAACAAATCTATATGGGGTACGTAGTGGTGTCCCTCTCCCACATCTGCAGGAGCCCCAAAGTTTTGGTTCCCAGCCAGTACCCCAATGGAAAGAGGGTGAAAGTTATTACAGATAGTCCTTGATTTATAACAGTTGGTTTAGTGCAGTGTTTCTCAACCTTGACAATTTTAAGGCATGTGGACTTCAACTCCCAGAATTCCACAGCCAGCATTGCTGGCTGTGGAATTCTGGGAGTTGAAGTCCACATGCCTTAAAATTGTCAAGGTTGAGAAACACTGGTTTAGTGACAACAGTTTGTTTAGTTTCAAAGTTACAACAGCACTGAAAAAGTGACTTATGACCATTTTTCACACTTATGACCATTGCAGCATCCCCATGGTCATGTGATTTACATTTGGATGCTTGACAATTGGTTCATATTTATGATGCTTGAGGTCATGTGTTCACTTTTTGCCACCTTTTGACAAGCAAATTCAATGGGGAAGCCAGATTCACTTAACAGCCATTTGTTACTAACTTAACAAATATAGCAAGAAAAGTCATAAAATGGGGCAAAGCTCACTTGACAAACTTCTCTCTTAGCAACAAAAATTTGGGGCTCAATTGTGCTGGTAAATCAAGGACTACCTGTACACAACCACATCTGAAAGGTCCACGACCCCCAACCTTTATATATGATAAAGAGTGGCTTGGGGGGGGGGTTGGAGTACAAAGGAATCGAGGAGATCTTTGCACACCTTGAATCACTAGTAAGAAAGAAATTGCATTTGGAGCAATAGATGGAATAGGGGGTTCTTTGGAGGCAGAAACATGGCTCCATTTGCATTCAGCCCTTATTTTCCCCAGGGTAGCAGACTTTGATGTGAAGAAATTTAGACAGCTCTGATCTTTAGTGGAGAGAAAAATCCAAAATCTCAAATTATCCAGTGACACTTTTTGCCTAAAGCCAAGATCTCAACCAGAAAATATTCCCATTTTGGGCCTTCCGGATCAGTGGGAGAAGTTAACTGTGCCTGACTGCACGTGTCTCCCAAAAGTCTTCCCTGGAGGATTCTACCAAATAGCCAAGCTGAAACTTTTATGATAATTCTCTCTGTCAAGTGAGATCCCTGACTAATCCAACTAGTTCTTGGACTTAAAAGATTATCGGGCATTTTCTGGAGAGAAGTGAAAAGGAAATAATCCCCATAAGGTTCATAATGATAGGGACAGAGATCGAATTAAATCGATCATCAAAAATTGAAAGGTTTCAGAACCTTGAAATTGGCTCCAGAGGGAACACATGGCACCTGTGACTGGAGAAAAAGAAATCTGATATTTGATGCCATGGTGGTTAAAGAGAAAATCCCAAGTTAATGCCCAAGCGTGTCATGGATCTGAAATATCTGAGTTTATTTTGAAAGCTAATGCTCAAGGGCAATACCATAAAAGGAATGATACAATAGTGTGGCCAGTCTCTCTGAACAAAATCAATTTAGTGAAAAACTAGTTATCAAAACTTCACATTGTTAAAATCACACACACGCACAGAGAGAGAAGTTAGAGGAAGCCAAGTGAAAAGAGATGGTGGGAGAAAAGATGCTTTCCAGCCCATGTAAGGAAGGGAGAGAGGGAAGGGGAGCTCAGGAGCCTTGTGTTAGAGATAGAAAGCAAGTGTGAAAATCCTCATCCAAGTTCCATCTTCTGAGGCCTGGGAAGGGGAGAGTTGGGTCCTATGTTCTACTGCTTCCCCTTTCCTGGCTGCTCAGGGAGGGCAAAGGCCAGACTCCCTGCCTTGCCTATAGAAAAGGCCAAGGATGGCCAGAAAGCAGGAGGAGATCTGGAGGAAGCCTCCCACCCCCGATTCCTGGCAAGACAGTAATCTGGTTTATTGGTTCTAGGATTACTTTTTAAGGGGACACAGCCACTGGAGTTTCTCAAACTTTGGTTTGCCTTTGTGTCTTTCCAGGAAAGGCTCCTCTTGAGGAGAAGCAATCAGGGCTTTGTCTTCAAAGGAGGATCTGGCATAGTCCTGGAGGAAAAGGTGACCAGCATCAACCTGGAAGGGACCCTCCATAATTCTGAGGAAGATAAGGGTCCCCCAGGGTCCTTCCAGACCCTTCAGAGCCCCCAGCTGAGGAAACCATCTTCATTGCAGCCTTTCCTGGACTGAGGATCTCCCATCGTTCTGCAGTTCTGGAAATTTTTGCCTCTTTCTCATCACACGAATAGCTTTTAATTTTGCTTTTTATTTGACCTTTATTTATTCAGCCTCTTCTCTGTGACGTTATTGGCAGGGAAGCTCCCAGGCAACTAGCTCTTCCCCATTTGATTGGTTGCTGAGTTGTCATGATGATGAGAGTGGGCCAGAATAGAAAGTCATGTGGGGGGGGGGGCAGGATTTTTGTCTTCCCTTAGAACTGGATGATTTCAATGTGAAACCTGCTTTCTTTTAGGAAATCCTGCTCAGATGCAGCCCAGAATGAAAATGAGACAAGAGTTGAAGAAAATGAAGGAATGTTTAAAAGATATATTAAAAATGAAGGAAAAATTAAAGACTTTGACAGAAATAAAACAGAAACTAGAAAAAGATCAAAGATCAAACTCTATAGAAAAAGGAGTTTAGCTCTATAGAGAATGAACATTGACACATAATAGCGATTTAAAAAGAAATATGAAATATAAATAAATAAATCCAAAAACAGCCTGAAGCTAATCTATTGGATATACAGAATAGAAAGAAGAAAATGCAATTAAATTGGAGGTTCAAGAAATTAGTGTAGACAAAGAGCTTATAGAATATAGATAGTGAGGTGTGCTCCTCCTAGTGGTGGTGGATACTGCCCATCCGCCCATCAAGCTGATGTCAGACCCATGAAAGAGCTTATAGAACAGTGGTGGCAAACCTATGGCATGCGTGCCAGAGGCGGTGCTCAGACTCCTTTCTGTGGGCACGTGCACCGTAGC